ATGAAGTGTTCAATAGCTTTTATCTGTAAAAGAATTGCTAATGTTATAATGAAGGAGGCAACTCAAGATTAAGAAATAACTTTCGATAATTTCAGTTAGGTTGCTCAAATCCTAAGCTTGTCTCAGCATATTGCATTTCCGAACATTTAGTATTTTTTCTATTTTTTTATTCACTAAAAGTGATCAGACCTTTCGACATTTTCAACCTTTTGTCCATTTCAACGATTTGTCCCTTAAAATGTTATTCGGCCTTTTTTTCCTTCGACCTTTTGTCGATTTGACATTTTCTGTTTGACCTCTTGTCATACAACCTATTCTACTTTTTTATTAATATTTCGTTTTTATGGCTTTCTCAGTCTAGGGTAATTCAAACAGTTAGTTTTGCATTGCATTATTAATAATTACTTTATTTGTACAGGCGCAATCGAATAAACTTTACAGAGCCGAGTTATCATTTTTGTTTTATATTATTACTGTCTTATATTTCAAGTTAAAAGAGCAGGACCGAATACTCGCGGTTGTCTAACCTATTCTACTCAAGCATCCAAAGAATCCATAGAGCTCTCAAGTTCTAAACGTTGCAAAAAGACACCGGGTCCGAGTTACCGAGAGCCAGAATGGCTCGGAATTTTAGAAAAGGTCCCTGAGTTTTGTTGGAGGCGAACCAGCCCAAGGCTGAAAGCCTCCTTAATAAAGCTAAATAATAATAATAATCCCTGAGTTCAGAGAGTTCTGCCGGTTCTTAATGATTCAAAAGTTTTATAAGTCATGCAGCCGAGGAACTTATTGGTGTTTTTACAGAATCGGTATTGCTTGGAATTGTCAAGTTGAGTTCGAAAGTTTGATTCAGTTCCATTCTTTAGTTCGAAGATCATGTTTCTGCATTTCTACAGTTATGGTAGTCGAAGAGTTTTCTTAGAGTTTTCAGGAGCGTTTATGAAGATTGAAAGTTCCTAGAGGTACTGAAGATTTTCTAAAATTTAGTTTTATCAGATTACCAAAATCTTACGATTTTTAAGAGTTGCTGAAGATCCAAAAGTTCTTTTGAGGTTTCTTGTACATCGGTAAAAAAATACTGGAGATCTGATAGATGCTGGAAGTTCTGAAAGTTCTAGTGGAATTCTTCAAATGATCCTATCTGATTTGATCGATTCGCTTCATCGACTTTCACTTTCGTTAATAACTCTTATGCAAAAATATTCCCTGTTGTAGTTGACGTTATGATCGTTAGATAGCAGCTTCTTTTATCAAACTGTGTGACGGAAATAGCACGAAATGTGTTTGCTTAGCCACTATCAAAAGAGAAAGTCAATGAAGAGAATCGCTCAAAGCAGATTGGACCTTTTGAAGAATTCGTCTAGACTCTCAGAGTACCAAAATACCAAAATAGCTTTTCTCAGAATTTTCTGCAAATTGCCAGAGTTCTGAGAACTTCCAGGGGCTCCCCAAATTCTCAGAGTTCTGAGAGAATTGCAGCTCTTCTTGCAGTCACCAATGACGGCTTTAGGATTCCTGCAAAGCATAAATTACATAATTTGAGTACACCATAATATTACAGCTATACATTTTATGATGAGTAAAAGTCATTAGACCATAATATTTTGTAACGTAAAATTCTAGTTCTAGCAACGTTTTCAAGCTCAACACTCGTCAAAACCACCTGAAAAAAAACTTCTGGCAATGATTCTTACTAACTTTGGGTAGTTAGCGTTTGTGTTCCTAACTTGAGAAAGTTAGCGTTTGTGGTCCTAACTTGAGAAAGAGTAATCACTCCTTCACCTCATCATCAAGGCGTAATAGGAAAAAATCCCAGGTTACAATCCAACAGTTCTAGATAGAGCAGGAATTAGGGCGTAACAGCTTTTGTGAACAATGACTTCTATCGATGATTTCTTGGAATTCAAGCCACGTCCACGCAGGCCAACCTAACCATCCGATAGGAGAAGTCTTTCCCTACCCGATGAGGATGTTGGTTTGCGTGGGCGAGCCTTAAGTTTCTAGAAATCATCAAGAGAAGTTATTGTTAACAAAGCTGTTAGGTCCTTATTCCAGCTCTATCTAGAGTTGATCTTACTTAAAGAATGGCCCATATAGAATTGGAACAACGACAGTTTGCAATGCAAGCTTATTGCTTATCGCATATTAGCTTATTGCGTGCTCTCAACTTAGTGTTCTAGTTCCACAGTTATTAATTGAGAGCATTCGATGCCTGTACCTTTTTTGCATCAGCATAATTGTATGGCAAGTATAATCATACTCTTTGCCCGGGAAAATCACGAAATTTTCCAACCCGAAAATTTCTAGACTGGCCCGGGAATCGAACCCAGCCACCTCCAGCATTGTCTTGCTTTGTAGCTGTGCCTTTATCGACTGAGCTCAGGGAGTATTACGATCTTATATTAACATATTAATGATCTTTTTTCGGTTAAGTTCGAGTTGTATTTTATGTAGGTGTATTTCCAAGGGAAACCACAAAAAACATGTTCATCGCTATTTTGGACATTTTTCCGTTAAACCCGGCTAATCAACCTTCGTAATCCATTGTTTTGGTAATCTCAATGAACCATGTATTGCTTTGACTCGTAATTTTGATAACTTTACCCTTTAGCTACATCACCCCCTTCATAATTGTCTCAATCGGCACTGGCACTGGTGACAACTTTGTAGGTTGAGTTCTTTTGGAACAAGCTGGACCCCGTTGATCACGAAGCTAAAAGTTTCTAGTATGGATAATGCACCAAAATTCACATTCACTGACGGTTTACCGTTAGGATGTTGGCACAGAACAGAAAGGGAACTTCAAGAGATTTGGAGATTCTTTCATTTGAGAACCCAAGCGTACCTGGCGGTAGAAGGCAAGCTTTTGCTTGTAGTTATCATAGCTTTGATGGTGTGAGTGCCTATATATTTCAATAGAAAACCCATGTGAAACGCATCGCTTGCTGAATAGAACATTTTGCCACTTTTTGCTTCACTGATTCCTTTGCAGTTCGCTTTCTGTTCTATGATGTTGGGCTAGAGGCCCATGGCCCTAACTGACTAGACACAAATCACAAACCATCGGTAGTATGACTTCACTTCTACATTTAAAAATTACGGGTGGCGGATGATACACCCATTTGGGTTTTTTAAACTTAGTTTCTACAGAAGTTCAGGGACCTTCTTAGAAGTGATTGAAATTCATAGAAGCTATGACTTAAAATATTGATTTCAGGGAACTTTGTAGATTGTTGGGATTTTATTAAGTTCAGGGAATGTTTTATAACTTCAAGAAACCTTATAAATATTCAGAAAATTCGTAGCACTTTTAAGAATTTCATCACCTGCGTAGAAGTTCTGGAGATTTTCTAGAAGTGCAAAAAATGCTATAGGAGTTCAGCAATTATTGCAAAAGCTCAGCGAACTTCATAGAAATCCAGAGAATTTCTTAAAACATCAGTGAATTGCGTAGAAATGCAAATTATTTAGTAGAACTTCATCCAACTTTATAGGTATTTGTAGAAATTTGGGGAAGTTCGTTAAAATTTTGGCATTTTCCTTTACCTTAATTGAGTTACCTTAAACTATAGTGGTTTTGTAGATGTTCAAGTGAAATCGTAGAAATGCTTGAAATCTAATATAAATTCGGAGAGTTTAGATTTTTTTTTTGAGAACATCGTAAAATTGGGGAACATTTACAAGTTTGTGAATCGTTGCAGGAAACTCTATCAAATTGCCGGGACCTACTTTTGTCTTTAGCACTTCTTTATAAAAGTTATTTCAAATATTTTAGAGAATTGCATAAAATTTAATTTTTTTACAGAACTTCAGGGAACGTAATATAAACTAAATTAATAAAAGATAGAAATGCAGCTAGTTAAATTAAAAATCGATGAACTTCTCAAAACGTCTAGGCAAGGAATTATGTAGAAGTTCATGGAAGCTCGGCTAGATTTTCGAGAATAACGTGGAATTCAGGGAGTTTTGTAGATGGGAATATTGTAGAAATTCACATGATGTTCTGAGATCTTTGTCTAGTTTCCTGGAATAGTGAATGAGACGTAACATTTTTTTTACAAGTTCAGCAATCTTGATAAAAATGTAGCTTTGATTTATGTAAGCTGTGAAAAATCCGTAAAGGTGCAGAAAAAATCGTAGAAGTGGAGGCAACTTTCCAGCAATTCGCAGAACTTTCCACAAATTAAGGAAACTTTAAAGAAGCTCAGAGATAAGTTAAATGGATTGGGAAGAAGTTCAAGGAGCTTTATTTGAGTTCATGGTATTTAATTAAAGAATCTTTGTAGAAGTACAAGAATGTTTCATATAAGTTTTATAGAACTTTGTTGATATCCATGGATTTTCAATATACTTTCAAAAAAGTTCTCGGGATGTTTTCCAAAGACTTGAAAAATGAAAAGGTTTATTCAAAATTATTCTGAACATCAGAAACACTTCTTCACAGAAATTCAAATGTTTTCAAAATTAAGACATATTTTCAAAATGAATGAAACGATTTTTGATTTTGAGAAATTGAAAGTCGCAGCAGTTTTTATTTTAGATAATCAGGAAGTTTTGGAATTATCCGGTATTTATTTCTCAAATTTTGTGCGGTGGCCCATCTATAGCCCAGAGGCCCCTTATTTACGCCAATGATGAATCACTCTACAAAAACGATAACGATAAAATCCCCTTGAAAAAGATAGAAGTCACTATCGAAACGTCGGGAAACATATCAAAGCAAGCGTGTGATTTCATACTGAGAATTCATTGCCGAATAAGGCCTTGAAATGTATGACAATATAATCGAAAAGACTGTCCAAGTAATAAACTGATTATAGTCCTTGCACATTTCCCTAGCATCGACCTTAACAACCTTCACTTGACTGGCGGCCTTCAGAATCCCATTACCGTCACCGTACCAACCTGTTATCATATTCGCTCCCCATCCCCATAATAACAGTAATCACCGCTAATCCTTCCAAATAACCACCTTTGCTAACTAAGTATTTTGTTTGTTCTAGGTAAGACGGCAATGAAAGCTTAATTTTCGCACCTTCCGCTTCTCTTGATCCCGGGCGCGATTTTCCACCCCATCTGATGAACTGACCGTTCATCGTGTTGCTACAGCACCTATACCTTACCCAACCCAGTGATGCTGCTCTTTATGTTGCTGCGTACCGAGCGGATATTACTGCTGCTAACCAAGTACATAATAGGGTAGCTCTCGCAAATGATAATCACTGTAATCTTCCATTGCTGCGGATTAAATATCTGCGCTAATACTCTCGGCGGTGAAGAGTGAAGAAACGAACGAGAGAACGCGTGCTCTCGTCAGAAGAAACACCGAACAAGACAAGTTCCAAAACAGCAACAACGTTGGCAGTATAAATTTAGAGAGAGAGCGAGTAGCAACATATCTACGAATCGACTGAAAAAAAAACAACATAACACAAACCGAAACATACCGACCTACCACGCATAAACGACCGAACGAACGAAAACTGAACAAGAAAGAGAGTGAGAGAGTGCGTCAAACTTTAACGAAACGGTACTAAAGGTGGCCAAAGCAAACTCACGCTACAGCGGCGGCGGCGGCGGCACCACCACCGTCGGAAGCACCGGCGGTATGACGTTTCGTTGTGTTCCTTCGTACGATGCCAGCGCTCAATGGGTAAGTGTGAAGCTTTTTTGAATTAGATATACATGCGGAGAAACGGCGGACGGAATGGAATGGCATGGTCCCATGGAGAAAAAGTTCCGTCCGCTTTCTTGGGCGGTTTGAGCTGAAAATCGGAAGATGTCTCTGTTGGTGGGTGGGAGTGAATCGAATCAATCTCGCCGGATGGAAGCGTATCGTGGTGTGCAATGCTTGATTAATTGATACGTTGTAGGACAAGGATATAACAAAATGATATGCAAAGAAATAACGCAGCTGCTAGAATATGACGTGTCACATCGCGTTTATAACTCTTTTCGTTAAAAACTTTTAATAAACTTCGTAATAATGCATTGTAATGTGCATAAATAGAAAGTAAACATGATTTACTTTGCTGTAACGAATAGTTACGAACACAGTCACCTAAAAATAGTGATTTTTTGACTGCAACTTTTCATAAAAAATTTCAGATATATAAAAATCTTTTGATATTACTCAGATAATCTCAAACATATTTTACAAGCTTTGTCTGAAGAAAATAATAAAAGTTGTTGAAAAGTCACGGTGAATGTTCAATGGATTATTTACAATTTATTTAGTGCCTTCTCATTTATCAGTGTATTATTCCCTCGTCCTGTAGTTGACGAATCAAAAAAATCAATTTTAGTCTTTTAATGTGCAAACAACCGCTGTATTACCTGTGCAAAAGTGTTGGATTAACGGGTAACAATTTAAAAAAAAAATAAAAGCTAACTTGAACAAACACCGCGGACGTCATCTGATATGACCCACAGCTTCGTTTAAAACAAGGTGTTTATGATGTCCTGGATTATTCCACACAATCGTCAATAGCCCCCTCAGCAGGAACTCAATTGAATCATAATCGCACACATATCCGCCCCGTCGTACGTATATACTCCCTATCTGATCTTCAGTGACATTACTTTAATCGCCGAAAAAAAAACCCTCGTTTCACCGGCCATCAGAAAGCCCATTTCGATTGGGATCTTTATTGATTGCTGCGCTTGCTGCCGAACCTGATCACGAGTGACAGTCACTATCCTACGGTTCTCTCCAATCGTAACGCCACCACCAACTGTCACGTCCCATGCTGATTCTTGCTGGCTTTTGGAAGACACAGCCAAAATCATGCACCACGCTCATTTAGATCGGAAATCGTTAAAATTACGTGATTTATCGGTAATTATCGCCGACTTTATCGGTGTGAGTGTGGAATTTACAACACACCGAGGACAGTTCCGACCCACAAAATTCGATTAATCAATCGATGAGTGCTGTCCAGCAATTTCTCCCGTTGCTAGTGATTCCAGTCTCTTATCGATTGTCCACCATGTGGTCGCATAAAGATCGCAATCGAAAATCCAGTCCTTCTCCGACCCAGGTACACCACAAGGAATCCGAACTCCCCAGACAGCGACATCAGGTTCCGCACCAAGGCAAGATTGTAGCGAAATTTCTGGCGAAACAAAAAAAAAAACAGTTAGCAAGCGCCCAACACACATGCTCACTGTCAGTCAGTCAGTCAGTCAGCCCCCGAAAATGGGGTTAACTAAAAGGAGTAGTAAATAATTTTAAATGTGCTAGTAAATTAGCTTTTATGAGCCCGTTCCTTCAGGTTTCGTGGCGAGTAGGTCTGTTTTAATGGGAAGTCGCCTCGACTTGTCCGTTTTTATGCGTGTGACATCCCCGCTTTCGTCGTCCGAAAATCGCGAGCATCCGCGTGTTAGTTCAGCAAGTAGGAAGGTAGTAAGTGAAACATTCTCGTAAAATTTCCGCAAATTGAAGATTAACTCTCCGGCGGGAGCAGGAGCGGGAGTAGAGTCAAGCTCTGGGGCTGCTCATTACAGCACAGGCAGCGTAGCAGTGCCAAAAGTAGCTGTCAGGTACGTCACCTTACGGTGCGCGATTCGTGTTGGTTCGGTGCGGACTGAATGATGGGTTTAATGGTGAGCGTTGTTGTCAGAAAGTGACATTTGCGACATAAAATCTGTTGGTCGGTTGATCGTAAAGAGGGTGGTTAGATGGGGGGGGGGGGGGAGGGATGGAATTGGACGTCGTCTTCAGAAATAAGCATGATCTCAGGGAGATACGGTTTTAGCATTTTACCGAGATGAGATAATGTTTTTGAGCGAGGTTAGTAATTATCACATGAGTGTAGTTCTTGGCAGCATTTGCGCAACGGTTGTGTTAATCACAAAGTCTTAACTTGTTGGGAGTAAGTTGTTTAGGCACCGTTATATAGACTGAGACCAGTGCTGCAAAATCCCGACTATTACGAAATGAAAATGATCTTCAAGAGATGCAGTGGCTTTTGCGAGCCCATAAATTGAACAGTCTTTAAGGCCCTTTAAAACCTACATGAATAGCAAAAATTAAAATTAAAATGTTCTGGAAAAAAAACACCTTTTATTACTATGCGAATCTTTTTATTTGATGAGTAAATATATGAGATTTTGACGAAGGTTTGTGTGATTCTCACAATCTCAAATCTTAATTCATCTTGTGGCGATTTTACAAATAATGTAGGAAGAAAGCCATCTTGAGATGATATGAAATTATCTTTAAAAAATCTTTATTTTTTCGTATAATGTACAGTGCTGTTCGATATAACTCCAAGGATGCTCTAAGGAAACCGCGGCAAGCTGTGGATTTGAAAAAGCTACCAAAAGCTTGCAAAATCTTCAAGTTTGACACCCATGTTTTGATATGATTCCGGTCATGTCCCAAATTGGGAAGATCGAAGTGTGCTCTGCTTCTGTAAGGACGTGAAAAATGTCCGAGTGTCAAATTTTAGGCTTCATTTTTTCTGTGATTGTTTTTCTAATCGCGTTTTAGCCCGAAACAATATGCCACTCGATAACATTGTTCTAGAAAAGAACTTTAGTGCAAAGAAAGTACAAGTGATTGGCAAGCTAGCCCGATGATTTTGATTGGAGGCGGATTGTGCAAGAGATTCTTTGTAGATCCGATGGAATGGTTTGATGTGTTGAGCTAGAATTAGGAGATGCAACAGTCTTCCAAGTTTTTGTTTCACGGGCAAACCATCGTTCATTTGGTGAGTTAGTTCCTGATTCTATATTCACCTGTTTCGGCCGCTTACGTGCTGTATTTTGATGAGAAATCAAATGTCGAGCGCGATATTGTCAAAAGTTGGGAACGACTGGGTATGGCCCAAGTTTCAACATAGATTTACCAATTGATTCATTCGGCAAGAGAGTCGTCCTAGCCCTTTTTTCTGGTTTTAGACGTTTGATGTTTTGTTTTTGAAATTTCATGTGCTCATGATTTGCCTGAAGAATATTTGAACTAGTTTGGAAATAACCCGAAAAAGTCTTGGAAGTGTCTTTGGTTCAACAGTAGTGCAGCCGAACAGTGAGAGTGCAACATTATGAAACTGGCTGAGATCGTCCCTTTATTTTCATTTATATATTCTTATATTTTTTCATATATTTTCATTCTATTACTCTCTACTGAAATCTAGTTCTCACCTGTTTGTGTTCAGCGTTGGAAAATTTTACGAGGTTTTATGAAGCACATAAAAGGAAAAGTTCGCGAGTCATTGGCCCTTATTACCGATGTCACTTCACGGTGAAGTGACAACTTGTCACTCACGGTGAAGTGATTTCCATTTGATTTACATGGCAATCACTTCACCGTGAGTGACATCTGGTCACTTCACTTCGGTTTTCACCGTGAAGTGACACCCGAAATACGGGCCATTGTGAGTTTTAGCGAACTTATCCTGTAGATTGATTAGAGACCCGCTTTTTCTCAAGAGAAGTTAGAACTAGGGTTCCTTCCTCCATTTCCTTTCTTTTACGGCATTTTATTCAATTTTTCTCTTTTCAGAAAGCGAGTAATGGCGCTATAACCATAAGCCATATGGGCTATAGGACAAAAGTTAATTCTCATGTCCCAACCACTCGAGGAAAATTGAGCATCACTTAACTTTTTTAGATTAGTTGCTCCCAACGACCAATCATTTATAAATAACAATACAGCGTAACGTACGGTACGAGATGTCCACGTTTCTTCCATTTATTGGATTCTGAAGCATCGTGTTTTAATCTTTGATTTTAACAGGCCCGATGTTTCTGAATCATCTTGCCCCTTAAATGCTGCACAGTAGGCCTTGCCGTTTTGTTATATTTTGCGCATCTCTGATGTTTAAAATATACCAAATAGGCAAGAAAAAGGATGGAGGTATATCTTATTATGCTTTCAGAGTATATGTATTATGCTTTCATGAACTAGCTGTGTTTGTGTTAGTTTAGATTAGATTAGATTCCGGTCATGTCCCAAATTGGCCATTTCCCATGGGGAACCCAGAACCTGCTGCAGGATGGCCATTGTGACGCTGAAAACGATTCTGGAGATATCGCTCTAAATAATCATGGGGATTGATACCCATACTGACTGGATTCAAAAATTCAGGAAATGGCCAGATTTCTATTGTGTCTCAACAGATCTTGGATCTGTAGCCAGCATTGAATTCAGAATTGGTCACAATCGTCAACTTTAACATGCTGTAACTTTGTAGTCTTATGATCAATTGAGCTGAACCCTTAGTCATAGAACTACAAATACGTTCAATTTTACGATTACAATATATCAAATTTTTGGAAGAACCTGCTGGAAAGTGAGATGCTATTTTTATTTTATTTCTGCATCAACAGGCTCGTGGCCCCAATGACGGTAAGTTTATACTACTGACTGTCATGTACATAATAAAACATATAGTAAAATCTAACAACTACTCGTTACGATTTGTTCTCCAAGAAAATAGAGCGGTAAATTTTCGTTGCAGTAACTCACGTGACATGTGAAAGTCAAACACAGATGCAACTCGGTTGAATAATCTTTGAAGACCGATGATAGCGCTATGCTAGCCGTAGTTAGTTATAATAAGTGGTAATCGAAGCATCTGGTTGACCTTGGCTGCACATTTATGTTTATTTGTTCCAATAAAGCTGGGCAATCAACTCGATTCTGCA